TTGTTTCTGTCACCCCCCAAACCCCCCCCCGCCCCCCCCCCCCGACCCCTGACCCCCACCTTCATTACTGGCAGCTGTATTTTAACACTCCTTTCACTTTGTTCATTGAAGACCATTCAATATGACACACAGACCAATGGGATCATTTAAAAATTCCTCTGTGGATCAAAGTCACTCTTTTCTTTAAGGTCCATTTGTATGATTTTCCCAAACTTTCACGGTGTCATCGACAAAGCTGTTAGTCAGATGTTTTATAAAAAGCTGACGAGTGGAAGATGCCTTTTCACCTGACGCCAGTGTTTTCCTGCTGCTCCTCGGCTCCTGTCCTAAGGCGACTGGAAGCTGAATGGAAACATTCTCCAGCATGAGCACAAGGATGTGCTAGAAACAAGAGCAGAGCTCCTGTGACCTGAACATTCTGTTCCCGGACGGTAATTGCTGTTTTCTCTGCTTGTAGTCGCTCCACTAGTTTGGAGCTTCAGGTCCTAAAGTCCTAATTTTATCCTGTCTTTATTTGTGTGGAGACGGACGTTTGATGTTGATGTCACTTAAATGCAGCGTTTGAACGAGCGCGTGTTCGATGCTAGTTGTAGATGTTGCTGCAGATCTGAATGTTTAATTGGTAAGACTAAGATGGAGACTTCTTTTTCCAACGTCTTCTACGTCCAAGGCTGATGTGAATGATTTCCACTATTATTATTACAAATGGGAACTTTATCAGGGTTTTACCTCCTGCTGTCCTTCCTGTGGACTCCAATGTTACCTTTCATAAAGATGTGTAACAGGACTGACCAGTGAAACAAGCTGCGTTTTAACGAGGCCTGGAGTGAGGTGGTTGTTGGTGGACATATGGTCCACGAAGGAACATCTGGTCTGTGGTGTCTGTAGTACATGGGCTGGAGCTGTGCCAGACTGGACGCTTCATCCCTTCCTATTACATCAGCCTAGACCTGCCCTGTATATGGATGGATGGATGGATGGATGGATGGATGGATGGATGGATGGATGGATGGATGGATCTGTTCTTTTTTGAATTATTTAGGTTACAAACATCATCATTAGTATTTGTCACAGCGACGCCCAGAGTGAAGGACAAACTTATCAGTGAAGTTTAAGGCTCCATATTGGTTGGTTGGTTGGTTGGTTGGTTGGTTGGTTGGTTGGTTGTATTGAGTATTTTCCTGTTTCAGTTGATAACTTGTAACTTCTGCTCTGGTTCGATTCACGCAGGGTTAATGATTTGGACTACATCAAAGGAACATTGGCTGTTGTTTGATACGTTGAACTTTCAGTTCACACCTCCTTTGATTGTGAGGAGGAAAAAAAAGGAGGAAAATTGATGAAAAAGGAACATTTTAGTTTTAGTTTTAGAGGCGTACTCTCTGTCAGCTGTGGTTTCTCCTCTTCCCTAAACAGATCATCATCATCATCATCATCATCAGTCATTACTGCTGTTTCAGCCTCCAACATCTACTGACGGGGCAGTGACCGTCCTCTTTATTTGTCTTAAAATGAAACGTTCATCATCAACACTGATTTTGTTTTGTCATCTGTGGCTGATTCTCACCAACCACTTCATTGTAAGGTATTGATATCTGAATCACACCTCCCACTTCAGTGGGCCGATGCTTCAGCCCTGTCTATATGTGGAATTCTGTTTTCCCAGTTAAAAAAAAAAAAATAATAAGGTTGAGGTGTTGTGCAGAGCCCCCTCTGAGGGACCCAGGATGAGAAGAGTAATATGCGTTGGAGCTGGCAGAGGCTGAGGTTGTGTTTTTGTTTATAAATAGCTCCAGCAGCTTTATTCCACTTTCAGTTGTCCCATAATCATCAATCACTCCTGCTCACCAGAGACACGGTGCACTGTTGGCTGTGGCCTTGCACCTCCAAGTGTGCAAGTACATAAAGTAAAGCATGGTAACGGGGGGGGGGGGGGGGGGGGGACAGGATGATGAAGTGAGTTGTGTGAGTGCGGCCGTTGCTGTTGGAATATCTCTCTTTCCTTTTCCAGTCGTTACTGCACCATCATCCTTTGATTCAGTTCTTTCAACATCTGGCTGCACACACACACGTTCACACACACGTTCACACATCCTCTGATTACAGGCAGGTTGAGGTGAGGTGCTGAGAGGCTGTGTGTGGACGGACACGCCGCTTGCTCTCCTTTTTATTTCTCTCTTTCTCTGACTGAAAGAACTCACTGTTGAAGAGGCTGCAGTGATCAAGGCCGTGTTCTCATCACACACACACACACACACCTTTACAAATGTAGCCTGAGCATAAGCCAACACACACACACACACACACACACACACATATTTGAAGTCAACAGAGCTGTGAACACACGAGACAAGTTTTAGTATTACCACAGCAGTGAAAAAAAAAAAAAAAAAAAAGAGAATAAGTCCAGCTGATCCTTGACAAAAAGCTTATATAACAACTGCAGCAGCAAGTCTGACTCCAGCATCACTCTGTTATCTCTCCGCCTGACTTTGCTGCTTTTTTACATATGCTGCACCTTCACATCACACCAGCAGGAACACAAAGGCCTTTCATCACAGCTGATGCAGAGCCAGAGGTGACAGAATAAAGGCAGCTCTCATCAGCTTTAGATAAACATATCAACATATATCAACATATCAACATATATCAACATATCAACATATATCAACATACTTGGTTAGATCCATCCTATTCTGATGCACCACCACCTGGCGACCTCACCTCCATCCTTTCCTACCTTCCTGCATCCTTATTTCCTTCAACTGTCGGGCGTGTCTGTGTGTGTACCTGTGTGTGTGTGTGTGTGTGTGTGTGTTAAAATGCCTAGTGTGTGAGGTCACTTTGAACTCACCTCCCGGAGTTCCTTGGCCACATCCTTGAGCTCTATCAAAATGCCTTCTAACTGTTCGATCACCATCTTCATGTGGCTGCGGATGCGTTCTCTCGGGCTGGGGGTCTCAGAGGTGTCCCGGGCCGGAGCTCTGCTGAGGGACATCCTTTACAGGGTGAGGTGGGGACAGCGGCCAACAGGCTGTGGGCGTGGGGGAGCCGAGTCGGGGTCCATGTCTTTGGCTACAAGGAGCCTCGGTGCTACTGATCCGAACAGGGGCCCCGTTCACGCAGGGAGATCTCAACATCTTAAAAGCACCTTGGCAGCCAAAACACCTTGCCTCTCCCACACACTGGGCACACGGTCACTCTGTGACATCCATGCCCAAAGGCTTCCAAGAATGAGGATGAATCGAGCATTGGAGAAGATGAGCACAGTAAATCCATTGAAAGGTAAAAAGGAAAGAAACGGCGTCTGCAGCTAGTTTTTACATAATCATGTTGAACCGGCTCGTGGTGTCATGGTGTTTGTCTGAAACTGTTCTCCAGCAGATGCTTTTTCAAAAGCCTGTCTACACAGAGGGGAAAAAAACAAACCAAAAGACTTCTGCTTCAAAATGTCCTGAACAGTGTGTTTTACTGGTGATACACAGTGGTGTAATCGCAGGCTAACGAGCTACGTAGCATAGATAGAAAAATAGAACTCCCAGCAGTGGCTCAATTTTCAAAATTATCCTGTTCTACATTATTGTTAGCCAGAGGGGACGAGATTTTCCGTCTCAGTGTCGTCCCTCAGTGAGGGTTACTGTCTTTATATAAAGGAAGGACAAATCCTGTTCAAAAAGGGGGATTATTCCTCTTTGCAATTTGCCATTCCCTCCAGGAAAAAAAAAAAAGAAGAATAAAAAAGATTCTCAGTAGAAACTTGTGTCAAAATAAACTCTGCCTCAAGTCCGTGTTCTTTTCAAATAATGACTTAATGGAGTTGTCCTTCATTTCTCTCCCAGGCCAGAATAAAAGGTAGAGCATCTAATATCAGCCCAGAGCGGGGCTGATTCCAGGGGCTGTGGGATCAGGATGAATTGATTTCTAAGCCGGCGGAACGTGACTTGTGAAGGGATAACGAAACAATCATTGTTGATGAGACACAGTTACAGAGAGGGCTGGAAGGTGAACAAGTGCCTTCCCTGGGAATTTGGGGAATTTGGGCTGGAGCTCTTTCCAGTGAAACGCTGACCCCCAGCAGTCCACATGGGCTGTGCCCTGAAACCCAGGGAGCAGAAAGAGTAAAGGATTCTCTTCTCTCCTTCAGTTGTTGCTACGGGAACCCAGTCTGCCTTCTTGTGCTGTGATTGGTTAATTATTTGACTTCTAATCCGTGTAGTGTGTGTCTTTTCTCTGAACTCTTTTCAATGAGGCAGTGAGTGCAGAGCCATCCAGCCACACAGAATAAATCCAGTCCAGGCTTCCCAGAGGAGCCCCGTACAGCAGGCAGGGGAGAGAGCTGCTCGCCAATTCCAGGGCGATGCCACTGCCACTGGGCGTGCTGGCCAATCACTCATGGCACCTGGACAAACGGGAAGGAAATCAAGCTCTTATTCTGTGCTTTCATCCTGCCGACATTTCTCTTCCTGGATTTTTTTTTTTTTTTTTTACATCTTAACAACATGAAAAAGTGGAGCTGACAAGGAGCCTGACACCAATGAACTACATTCACACACACACACACACACACACACACCTTTTCTCATCATCCGTTTTCTGTTGCTATGCCCAAAACTCAGAGTCCACACAGCAGGATCATCAGAACTACACACACCGTTATGTACACAGTACGTAGCAGTCACACACACACACAGCAACAATACTTACTGTCTTGACAGAGAGAGCCTTTTATCAGCAGGGTTATTTAACTCTGAGGTTATGTCTCATCAGAGGAGGAGTAGAACTGGAGGATAAAGCTGTGGAGGAGGAGGAGGAGGAGGAAGAGGAGGCAGGCAGCATGAGAAAGGAGCGATGAATGGCCCTGAGAGCTCTGGGAGAATAGAGAGAGGAGGCTGATGATGACTAAGAGCCAGAGTGGTGAGGGCAGCTCCTGCTCCTGCTCGTGCTCCTGCTCCTGCTCCTGCAGCTGCTCCTGCTCCTGCAGCTGCTCCTGCTGCCGGTACCATCACTCAGATCCCATGGCTGCTGAGAACCAGCCCCCGTCGTCGTCCCTGTCACAGTCAGCCTGCACAGGAAGCAGCGCAGAGAGAGTTGCCAAGATGCTGTTGCAAAGAAGAATCTGTCTGATTCCGATGACACTCTCTCCACGCCTGCGTCTCTCTCTCTCTCTCTCTCTCTCTTCGTGTCTGTCTCAGCCCGTTCTATCAGTCCTCCCGTGTCCCTGTCTCTCTGCCCCTGCGCCCTCACTCTGTCCTTGCTGACTGCCGGATGAAGGGAAGCTGATGCCAGAGTTTATGGTGGGGCTCAGGTTGCTGCCATCTCCACTCCGCTGCTCTGCTCTGCTCTGCTCGGCTCGGCTCGGCTCTGTGGAGGAGGGGCTTGCTGCTTTAAAGGCACAGTGAACAGTGGAGTCCCTCCTCTGCCTCCTTCATCTCTGCTCCTCCTCCTCCTCCTCCTGTTGGCATCCACTGTCCTCTCACCATGTCTTTCTACCCTTGGTCACAGTTTTATCACAGCTGTTTTCCATCTTTCTAAAACTGAAGTCTTTTCTGGTTTGTTCTTGTCCCCTGACGTCCAGGCGGTGTCCAGGGACGCCGTGTCCAACATTCCTCTGCTGTTGCATCATTAATACACAGGTTGGCGCCTGATGACCTCATCTGACTGAAATACAAAAATGGAGTGGGAGGGACAACATGACTTTTGTGTCTTTGTCCTCCTTATCAGTTTGATTTTCTTCAAGCAGCTCCTCCTCCTCCTCCTCCTCCTCCTCCTCCTCCTCCTCGTCGTCGTCGTCGTTTTACCACAGGCATTTATCTAATTATAAAATGGGATTTATTCTGGAGATAATGTTAGTAAAATCCATATTAGGACCTGAGTAGAACGCTGCTCACTACAGGCTTTAGTAAAACACAGTAGTCGACCGCCGAAGGCTACGTTTATTCCTCTGCATGATATTAAAGAGAAACTTTGAGTGGTTTGAAGTCTGGTCGCTCGTCCGTGTGGTCGTATCTGGGACAACATCAGTCTCTTCTATTCTCTGATTATTGACAAACATAAGATCTAAATATATTTCATCTCTTTCCCATAAGTACACAGTGACATATATATATACTGTATATATATGCTGTATATATATAAATCCCGTTTTGAAAATCAATGAGCGTGATGAGAGCTTTTTTTAGTTGTGTTGACCTCAGCAGAAGTCTCACCTAAAGCCCTCATTACAGTCTGTGCTGAGTGCAGGGTTGGTGGAGGGAGGCAGGGCTCAGAGGCCCAGCTAATCCAGCCGCTCTTACAGGCATGATGGCCTCGTCAATATGCTGCTGCTGCATCTTAAAGAAGCTGCAGCTCCACAGAAGGGCTGGCTAAAAGAGACTCAGGGGAATGCTTTGCATGCTGCAGTTTATTCTCTTAACAGCTCTCAAGGTTAACACTTTTCACTCCCATTTTTTTCACTCCGCTCTCATTTTTGTCTGTCCTCGGTGCAGATTCTTTTTTCTTCTAGAATGGAGTGAAAAAAGTATTCAGGTAAAGTATTAAAGTAACAAAATAAAAAAAAATGGGCACAGAGTTTTGTTTATGAGACTCCACAACTGTCTCGCAGCCATAAACCGTAAATCACGCCTGCTTAGACGCAGAAGGTCATGGGTTTGAGTCCAAGAGGAGCCACCAACTGGTAACACAACAGTTTCCTTAGTGTGGTGTCAATAAAAATCCAGTTATTATTAGTGATTCCATAGTGTGTGGTTATCGCGCCTGCCTTACATGTAGAAGGTCCTGGGTTTGAGCCCCAGAAGACCCCCCCGGCGCTCTCCTGTGGCAGCCTGTAGGGGTTGCTAAGAATCACACTGGATTCTTTTATCCACCAGGGGGCAGAATACATGAGATCAGTTTTTAAAGGAATTGATCATTTTAATTGATCATGTTGATGATCTGTAGGTCTCAGGATCGTACGTATCAAATATGGTTCAAATGGATTTATAGAACCAGGGGTTTGACATCATCAGATGTGACTCAGCTCTGGGCTGTAATTGCATCTGAATATGATTGATTTGTTTACTACACCAGCGTGGCTGTAGTCAGGTCACAATCCCTTGGATGTCGTCAACCCCAAGATAATCTGACAATCTACTTTACATCAGGCAGCCTATCAGGCAGCCCCGACTCATGACTGTGAAGCCCAGCACACAGGTGTTCAAATGTTCAAATGTTGTATTCAGTGAAAAACAGATAAGGCATGAGGCTTCTGGTTCACCATGTTTTCCTGAGCAAAGGAAGCTAGGCTACGAGCACGTCACCCAGTTTAATTTGGAATCCTCGCTGCACTCACAAAGGAGGTCAGACAAGGAGAAACAAGTTGTCAGACGTAGTAAAAAGAGATTCGTCATTTCTCCCCGATGACTTTAGACGATATGAAGGCTTTTTCTTCTGGTTCTCTACCGTATGTGGGTTCTACCTGGACCATGTATTGAAGCTGCCTTCCTGTGGTTACAGTTGGAGAATGAACCACCGAGCGCCGCTGCCCTGCACGCACATCTGTTCACTGTTTGGAAGCTGGACGCCATTCTGACTTTAATTGGACCAAAATGGATTCTCCTGTTGAACTCACTGGGCCGTGGTCAACAGGGCAGCGAGGTCCAAACATTGGCACGGAGCGAGGTTGTTTTGTGGTGACTGGTCCACCAGGACACAGCTGTGTTGCTGATTGGTATTAACAATCGCAGGTAGTTAAATCAAAGTACCACGGTCGCCTCCTGAGTTAACATGAACATGAATGAACACGTGGGAAAATCAAACTTTTTCATACGTGTTCAACATGATCATTCATTATTTTTCTGTGCCTCACGCTGCCGCGTTACATTTCAAAGCATTACTTGTCATCACGCAGCGTCAGCAGAGGGAATTGTGGGTTGACAGGCGGACATACTGTAGGCCCTACAGTCAGACCCTGACTGTGGTCTGTCTGTGGCTGTGGGGACATTGAGTCCACTACTGGGTGGAGACTTTGCTTCAGCCACAGGCACTGGTCGGTTCATCAGCTGGTTGTTGTGTTGACCAGTGAGCAGGTTAGTATCATATTATAGCAGGTCATTTACTGAAGTGTTGGTCTCAGTGGAACGGTTCACATTAACGTTGTTTCACTGACTTCATCTGCTGTCAACAGTTGGGCTTTTTTTATGTTTTTGTCAACCACAGAACACCCCCCTCCCACCCCCC